GGGGGGGGGGGGCGAGCAAAAAAGGTCTCCAGCTCGGTTTGCGTCACACGCCTCATGTGCTTTTGACGGCAACAGCTAGCCACTGCAAAAGAAGAGCTTCAGGCAAAATACGCCCAAGTGTAATCCAAACGGTGCATCAGTGGCGACATGATTCATAGTGCACATCTTCCACTTTTTGACAACAGTCAGAGTCGATTGCACCGACAGACTCCCAAGTCGCGCTCTCTTCACAATGAGCGACTGGCCTGCACATGACCGTCGAAATTTCCAAATCTCCCTACAAACCAAAGGGCAGTGAAATTTCGTGTTCTTCATGAGACACAATTTGACAAATTAAGCTGTTGTCGCCTGTTGTCCAGCGCCGGTTGTTTGCCAATGCCAACACCTACCCGTTGTTTCACGGGAGTTTGAGATTGCTATCAAGGATTCTCCAAAAACAAAACTACCGATGCAGAATGATTCATCATTCTTCAGTTACAAGCTTGGAGTATTTTTCGCCCTTTTGACCGTCCACGAAATTTGATTTCTAGCGCATTCCGTCGAGTCGTCTACTATGGGCCGGTAGCTAGAACAACCAACGTCCACAGTATATTCCATCATGCAACGGTTAAAAAAACCACACATTCACTTACGGCAAGGTCATCATGGATCATCTTGGTCGGAGCTGATGTCAATCACCACACAACATGCGCGTAGTGACATGGGAAGGGGTTCGTTCTGAAATGTCACGGATCTAATTCTGCGTCCATGCTCTGCTGTCTAAATGTTCGGAGCCCTTGGTGAAAGAGCAATCAGCTCATGTGGAGCCCGTACAATGAATGACAGGGCCTCCTCTTCCGCTACATTGAACAACATGGCATGTCTGTCCTATCGTGTTGGAGCACTCAGGTACTACCAGTGTCACAGTATGATATGACTTGAATGACGTACCCGTCTGTGTGGCAACTCTACTGCTCAATCAGAAGACGGAGCGGATTCGGACGTCCTGTTCTCTGCGTCAGTAACTCAGACTGTAAAATCGATGGTACAACTTACGGAAATCCTTCTTTCCACCTCCCTAACGGAACGGTCGAGCTCTCCAGCAATCATTTGCTTCTTTTCCCGAGATAGGAGTGAAAAGCGTTCACACAAGTCTCCGTCTATGACACCTTTTACAGGGACGTGATATCCTCGGTACATCAAGTGGTCACGGCCAGCAAGAGGCGGATCTTCGTTGCGCATGTGCATCTCCAAAGTCTGAAAGAAATCGGCCGTTTCTCTGGTGACAAGGGGGATGAGTACCCCAATGGTCCCCTGCAATCCACTCCATAGCAAAACATCCTGCCCGCCAACCACCAAGCTAGTCTTGCAGATGCTTGTCGGTATATCTTGGACAAACATGTGTGCCATCAGTTGAAGCCTATGAGCGGCGCCATGGAGATAACTTTGACCATTGCTAAGTTGCACGTCTGACCCAGGCTCATCAGCCTCGGCGCTAGCTTTATCGGGGCATCGTACGATCCATATATTTCCGAACTTATCGCCGCCTGCCACGGATTCGTAATCTGCCATAGCTAAACAAGTCGTCCAACGAGCGATTGTATCGTCCACAAAAGGCAAGAGTTTATTTGAGACGGGATTGTAAACCACCATGGTCACGCCGTGCTGCACGTCGCCAACAACAATTCGGAAACCTTGGGATTGTAAGGAGACAATATGCTGCGGCGAAATGTCTGCTTGCGCCTTTCGGAGCAATTGCCTCATGCCTAGGTCGTAAATTCTCAGAGTCTTGCCGATTCCAGCGAGCAGTCGGCCGTGAAAGGACAGGAGTGCCGTAGGTGGCTCTTCGACCTTGGTTTTATGGATAAATTCCAAGCTTCTGCCATCATCATGAAAACGATAGACGTGTATAAAACCTTCGGAGGACTGTCTTGGGTTGACAATCATGTCTTTGCCAGTGCCGATAATCAGGAAGCTTTCGCCATCCTGGCTTGTGAATGGCACGACTGCTGCACTGACACCCGCTTCGTTCCCTTCCAAGTGTACCCTGTCAAGCACACTCGGGGCATCTGCAACAGGATTAATGATACTAACGCAAGACGCCCATCTTCCTTTCCCTCTTGGGAGGCCAAAGTCGCCGGGTGGTAGGTGCTTAGCATCACCGTTGGTGACATTTGTATCAGCTAATAGTTGTGCACAAAGTGATGGGTCCAAAGTGTTGTTTTCAGACTCTATGGTGTATAAGTAAGGCTGATCCGGATGCTTGACAAGTTGTCGCGGAGTGTACGCAAGAGGCACAAATTTTTGAATAAACGAATCTTGTAATTTTTCAACAGAGAAGATGCTGTAGTATCGGATAATTAGTCTCTACACCTCAAAACAACTGCTTCATTGCTGGTTCACTTCCAAACTGGAATATGACCGAAACGATGCCCGGAGTAGCCAAGGGTGGTACACATGGAATAACGTACTAGAGATGATCCTTGTGGATTCCAACGATGCCTTCCTCGCACTGTTCACTCGTGAAATTCCAGGCCCATTCAAGTTCATGGTATGAAAGGGGCGTGACTAAAAACCCGCCCATGATTGGATCTATGTGTGCTATCCAGGAGGTGGTGCTAAGCGCCAAGATACATCGCTGGTTGTGAAGTGCAACAGGGAAAAGTTTTATAGGCTTTGGACCAAGAAATCGGAGCCGTGTGTCGCTCAAGTCTCCCGTGACTTCATCCAATACAGTTCGCAAGTAGACCCCAGAATTAAGGCCAACATGGAGGTACAATGTAGAGCCGCCCGAGGAAGAGTCTTGCATATACGTTATACAAAGCGCGGATGGAGCTGCTGTTAGAGCTTGAATGGACTTACTTTCGAGAGTTGATTCGGGCTCCAAACTTAGTATTCGAACAGTGCAATCGTCACATCCAACAGCCAGAAAAGGACTTCGTAGTCGACCTTCAGGCACGGGGCCCAAACCGAGAGATGTAACGCTTCCTATCTCTTTTCGTTCGTCAAACTCCGCAAGAGATCCGTCTTCATCTACCTCAAAGTAGACAATCTCCCCTGAGCTTAGAGCAATGGCCACTTGCCGCTCATTTGTCGCAGCAGCAACAATAGTACGATGCTGAGGAACTGGCCATTCGGTAAACTGTCCGCTTTGGATATGACGAATCCCTTTCGAGTAAACTTGGAAGAGACTGTTCTTGCCGATTTGTTGCACCGCAAGCGTTGCCACAGTTGTGATGAATCCCGAATCAGTCACTTGAGTTACTGTCTCCCCGACACTCAAAACCATAGTGTCGTGCAAGAAGGTAAGAATAATATACGCATCGTAGTCGTCACTTTGCGTAAGCTTGGTGGTCCAAACCGCCGATGGAGTACCTGGCAACTCTGACGCAACAAGCTCGTTAACTTCCAGCCCATGCCTCAAAATCCGGAGTGTACTTCTTGCGCCATTTCCACAAGCAGCGTATATTTGCGAGATATCCTCTCCAGCTTGAGTTAGTATTTTGCAGTCCATGAGTGGAGCCATTGAACTTACACTTTCAACCAAAGTTAAGTTTTCAAGTGGCCGCGGGTGGAAGTAAACAGGATGATAGGATGCCTGGTAATCAGTAGGAAAGTCATCGCTGGTAAACTCGGTCTCGTCATCATCATCACCCAGTTTTTCAAACTGGTAGAATTGATAATTACCGAATTCACCAGCAGTGAAAAGAAAGCCACTCTTCATAATACAAATACTATTAGAAACCGGAATCGTATCAAAATACTTGATTTTAATACGGGTAACCTCGCCTGTTAAATTTCCATCGGCATCCTCTGCCATATCAAGTGTCACCTTGAATAAATCTCCATCATCGGTCTGAAGCAGAAAAAAGAATGCGCTGGTACTCCCTTTGAGTTTATGCATAACTCCCGATACTATTATGCGCCTTCGTTGAGGATCCTCGGTAGCGCCTCGACGTCTTGGAATTGGAACGCGGAATGCTTCTTGGTTTGAATGCCTATATGTGACGTTTTCTTCTCCACATACCAAGACACCACTCGGACCGTCGCTCCCACCAGGGACCTGGAAGAGCAAAGACGACGTTGGGTCAACAACTTCAGACCACTTGCGGACAACATGGTTTAATCCAAGATCCAGTTCATAATATACGAGCTGTATTTCCACCTCTGCTGAATCATCTTGTTCCGCCTCGGTGTAATCCGCTTCGAGAGCCGCAAATACAGGAGTGGCATAGCCGACATCGAGGGATACAACAGAGAAGACGAGAATACCGTGCTTATGAGCCTCCAGTGGCGATGATATAGTGAGCTCGGCCTCAGCGTTGCGATTAAGGACATAAACCAGCTTGTTCTTTTCGATAGAGGCAATCAGACAAGCACGACCCTTTGGGTCGGCGGCAAGATATTGACCTGGGATAACACGGCGTACACCTGATTTTCCAAATGTTGCCAGATGGATACGAGAGAATGAGTTCTTCGTCGGCGCGTACTCGACAATGGCGATCCGGCCCGAATCGGAAGCGAGGATAATGTAGTCTGGTTACAAAAAACTGTATCAGTGTCGGACCCATAATGCACAAAAATATCTTTCTGTCGCTAAACACTCCATCACTACAACGTTCGGTAATATCAGTCAGCGTGTAACGTACCTTTTGAGCTACCAGCGAGGCGGAAGGCAGCGATGGATCTGATGATACCAAAGACATCATGAGACAGCAATTTTATAATCTTCCCCGAATTTATGTCCGGGCGATAGAGATTCAATCGTGGCCCAGAAGCTGTCACAATCTGTTGCTCTTTTGTCCCAGAAAATTGGCCGATGATGGCTTGCGTGACACTCGTTGGTGGCTGGATTGTCAGCGAATAGAGGAACATGTTAGAAGTGGTAGCCATTGCGAATAGTTGCAGCCGCAGATGGCTTGCGCAGCTCTATGCCTGTTGTGACACGGTGAATTGAGCGCAGCTATGGGGTGTGAGGAGTCCAGATTATCGTACCCAGTTTGTTGCAAACGTTAGATGCTGCGTTGTGAAAAAGCTGTACCTTGATTGATCTTTGATTGATAGTTGAACCAGCGACTCATGCACGTGATCAGGTTGCTCTTATCGATAGAGCTATCCCTTTGAGTGTGCTAAGGTCCTTTTTTGTAACTGACCAGGATTCAAGCCAATAAAAATCATTACATTAAAAGGATATGACTTTATGAAGAAATAATATGATAATAAAGGTACCTGAAATTTCCGGATTTACAAAGAGCTACATCTTATTATCTCAGCTGACCCCGCTATTAAAGAGGTCAACTGGTAGCTTCTAGGTATCGCAGAAAAGTGGGTCCGTTACCTCACTTGGAATGCGACGCCCACCTGCCGCCACTGGAGCACTCTACGCCTTCCGCTCCAGCTTCGGCGTGCTTTCAAGCCACGTGCTCGCACCCCTCCCAGCCACAGGTTAAATGGTATGGTGTGGCTAGGCTCTGGATGGACGGTGAACCCACATCAAACATTGTGAGCTGCTTGTCCGGATGAACGAATCGGTGACTGGGAAGTCAGTCATATTGCAGGATTGCTCAGAACGGTCAAATCAACCGGTCACGACTGGTCCCGGACGAGTGAGCGAAAGCTGCACATGCATGTGCTAGTTGACGCGGCTTGCGCCTGTCTCGAGCATCAGACCACGCGTGGTCCAGAAACCAGAATCCAAAACGGTGAAGCATCACCACTGCCGACTCGACCTGGGACTTGAACGCCAAGTTGAATTCTGCCGCCCGCTGGCCTCGCCTTCTCTGGTGACACAATGAGCTCACATACCGGCCAAAGACGGACACGACGCTGAGAAAGGGTCTCGTCCATGCCATGCCACCATGTCGGCCGCTCCAACAACCAGCTCTGCGCCTCCCCCGGCGCGAAAAGTCAAGTTCGTGGCGTCAGATCCCAGCCGTGGAGGATTGCCCGTCAAGCGCAAGCAAGTCCAGCAGGCCTGCGCGGCATGTCGGCGTAAGAAGGTTGGTGCTCTGCTTTTCCTGAGTCTTCCCGGTCCGACCTTGGCCGTCTAGTTGCCTGTTTGAGCATTGGCTAACCAATCCCGGCTTGTTGCGCATGGCAGCGACGATGCATCCATGCCGACGATGCTCATGCTCAGGAGGAGTCCGCCTCGGAAGAGCACAGAGGGCAGGACTCGTCGCCCTCGCAAGCCTCGTAAGTCTGATTCCCATGCGTTTGTCTCATCTCTCATCCCCTTGCTGACTATGGGCTCCAAGGCCGTCTACGGGCGCGTCGGTTGTTACGCCGCGGATGAGAACTGCAGCCATGATGCATGAGAATGGCACCGTAAACAACACATCACATACTGCGCCTGCTTTGCATACTACTCAGTCTCCATACTCGAGCCACCGGGCCTCTGTTGCTACGCCATCGCAAACCGATGATCTCAAGCAGCGGTCTTCCCGTTTTGTGGGTGACCTTAACCCCGAGGGCATGTTTCTGGAAGCCACCGCTTCCGTTTCTGCCAGAGCCTCGTCACAAAAAGGAGATGTGGGCATCTGGCTGTCGTCTGGTGCATTTGGGGGCACCGGACAGTCGTCTCAATTCATTACCTCTCGACCTCCTCCGTTGATGGATCGGTTCTTGCTGCCATTTGTTCGGGAACACTGCCTGTCCTGCCTCCCGCCGCCCGAGGACTTTGCACGCCTAAAGAATGTCTATATCCAAAAAGTCCATCCCATATTTCCAGTCATCCCTATCGCAGACATCGACAACAACCTCGACCACCCGTGCAACATAGTCCTACGCCAACTTGTTTGCCTCGCTGCTGCTGCTGACCCGGAACTCACCGAGCATTACCGGCTACAGAACCGCGGGCCTGGTCTACTGTCACCCCAAGACTTTTCCCAGTCCCTGTCCTCATCTGTGCGAGCCATACTGGAAACAAGCCTCATTACAGATCGAGTTTTGCATATCCAGGCCTTGATAATGCTTTCTTTGTATACGCAGCCAACCTGTGCCGAGGAGTCTGACCTACCCGCACAACTGGGCGGCCGTGCCATTCACCATATACAGACTCTTGGTTTACACTTGCTAAGATACGACGCGCCAAATTGCGACGACCTCGAAAACTTGTTTTGCTGTGCATGGGCCCTGGACCGCATTAACGCCGCCGAGTACGGCAGACCGTGTCTGATTCACGAGCGTGACATCGGCGCTGATCTGGAAGCTTGCATCAGAAAACGACCACCGTGTTTCCGACTGTTTTTATCAGTTATTCAGTGGCTAGACCAAGTTGTGGAACTGTACCGCCCAGGACCGAGTGCAGAAGCATCTGGTCTCGAGAAAATTGCCTACATCGATCTCCCCGTCTTGGAGGCAATGATTGTCGATGCGGATGCGCTCAAGGTGCCATCCTCCCTCATTGGTCGGTATCCTCCCCATTAGATTTCTACTTCTAGCCCATCTCACACGCGCCATAGCAACCATCGAGACGTTCTACCACGCCGTCATAATTCTGTCGTGCAGATTACCTCGCCCCGGAACAGTGCCCGCCGCCTCGACACTACCGCCGCCGTCTGCAAACGCACGTCGGTCCCTTGCAGCTGAGCGCATCGCCTGTGCTGTTCCCCGGGATCACTTGAGTCCCATGCCGTTCATTCCGTACGCTATTTCACTAGCTCTGAGCGTCGAGTATAGGAAGATGAGACATAGCCGGCTTGCCATGTTCCGAGCCCGGGCCATGAGCTCGTTTAAGCGGAACTGTGAAATGTTGCGAAAATACGGCGACCATTTCTGGAGCGCAAACGTAGTCGCTGGTCTAGGCGAACGAGTACTCAAGGAGATGGAGCGTGCTGCCACGAGCTTGACAACGAAGGATGCTAGCCCTGTCCCGCCAGATGCCAGGTCCAGATCAACATCGGCCGGGGTGCAGTCCCAAAATGTCCGGCAGACCGAGATGCTGCCTTGGAGTACAGCTGGTATTACATCCGCCGTCGGCATGGACAATGCGGTCGACTTTTCACTGATTGACGCTATCTCGGGCCAGGACGTCTTTGGGCATATCGACCCCAGCTTCAACTTGGAAGCTGTAGAAGATGTTTTGGAAGCAAACCTAGATATCGGCTTACCACTTAATTGGGGGGATTGGGGGCAGTTTACAATTAATTAGCTCCGTCATTCTATTTTCTTCATCGTGTGTGCATAGAGTGATGATCATGGGAATGGGTCTTTTTTGGTAGTACAAGGGGAAAAAAACTGTGTATGGCGCTCGGGCATGCAACGGTTGGGAGAAATACTGGATTTTTTTTCTTCTTCTTTTTACTCAGGAAATAAAATGCCACTCATAGCAATATGGAAGAAAAGAGAGTAGTCCTCTCGGCTTATAATGTGCTTCGCCGTCATATCCCGGTCTTACCTTGTTGTGGCAAGGTCACTAATTCCCAACTTCGTAGGGTGAACATGAGGCATAACGAGCGACTAAGTGAGTTATTATATCTTTTTCATCTTTATCGATTCTATGCAGTAATGACTAAGGTTGCTGTCAAACAACGCCAAGCGCATCATCAACACAACCCATCCGCAGGTGCCAAAACAAGAATTCAAAACACGAGCAAAAAACGACGCTTTGGCATACGTCATCGGTCGAACCGGCTCTGATGTTGGATCTTGCGTCTACTCTCTAGCTGTTTCTGCATTTCTATGTTATCATAGTCTAGCTTGTCGCGTAACTTTGTGTCGTCAGCGAACAGCGGACGAGGATTGGTGAAGGCATCATCTGTGGACATGGGCACCTCCGAGGGATCGAAAACGGGCCGGCCGAAGCGATTATAGGCGATAATGGGTCTCTGCCCCCGGCGAAGGCATTGTTGGGCATCGCCTGGGGCATAGATATGCGTCGGATCTCAACGGCGTCTTCCTGGATTGGCTTCACCCCCATGTACGTGTAGATGAGGTTGAGTGCCGGAATGGACAGGCCATGGACGACAATGGAAAACAGGACAAGCCAATAGACGACGGGGCCGATTGCCCTGGCCAAATTCGTCTCTTGCTCGTCGCCCTTGCCCAGCTCCGGGAACAGATGGCGGCCGTGCTCGGCGTAGAAAACAGCCCCGGCACCAATGGGCCCAAAGTATCCCATAAACAGGGCTTCTTTCCAGTCCTTAACTACTCCCGGCATGAGTTTGTACGAGATCATGATGCGGGAGTGCGGCGAAAGATGAGAGCCATGAAGCCGAGGAGTATCAGTCGTCCATAGGTGAGGCCTGTGCCGTCGGGGTCGTTGAACTCGCCCCAGGGCATGATGGTGCCAATGTACATGAAGCCGCCAAAGTTGAGAAGCACGTCAACGCAAGGGTTGACTTGGTCGTGGCGGCGCTCTGTTTCGGCAAGGTAGTCTCCGTCCCAGTTGAGGGCGTTGCCGGCCACGAAACAGGCGAGGAGATCGTCGGTCCCGATGGCGCCGCAGGTGCCGACGAGGAACATGCCAAGCGCAGTTGGGAAGAGAACATACGACTCTCCGTCGATCCATTTGCTACAATAGTATGTTAGTACGGGGTAGAGCGGGGGGGGGGGGGGGGGGGGGGGGGGGGAAAACCGCCTCCCCGCCTCCGGGCA